TGTGTTTAATTTTTATAGAAAATGTCGTCAAAGCTGCATGGTTTAATCGTTTAAGGGATCAAAAAATTTTACAAAAACTTTAGTAGTTCCTCCACTGAACTACTGAATAACTTTCATTCAAATATTCAGAAATATTCAAATATTCCCTTGTAATATTCCGTTGTACGTTAAATTTGTCAGAGTATATTTTAAGTTCTTTAAATATTCACTTTGGTTAATAATAATGTTCAAATACCAGTAATATAAATATACATGCATTGCAGAAACTTTTTGCTAGATGAGCCAAGAACAATGGATGAAATTAATATTTCCACAGACAAAGTTTCAAGAAGATTTGGGACGTTCACCTATCGAATGCTAGCCTCGTGCAGGCCACATTTCCTCGTCGAAACGAATCGTCCAAGATCCAGCTGTAGTTTCCGTAAATCTCATGATCGGGCTACGCTTGGTCACGTTTACGTAGACTCCACGTGATTCTAAGGTAAGTGTTCCTCCGTTTGAAAGAATACTTCCCCAAAGATTCGACAGTACGTGAAAATATCGACGTTCGTCGGAAAATTAAGCGATCTTCATTTCTCGCAAACATCTCGACTTCCAAGTATTTCTCAAAAAAGGTTGACGATTTGTTTTCGACGATCTAACGTTCCACACATGTTTTCCCCGATCGACGAAGGTTCGAGTTATTCGAAAATATCGTGGGAGACAGTTTCTTCTCGAAGAAATACCGTAGATTGTAGAGAGTTTGATTCAATAGTTATGACCTTCTAAAAAAAATAAAATACGGAATGCCGCTGATAATTCATTGAAAATAATACGCAATAAATAATGGAAAGACAAACGGAAAGCCAAAGAGAAATAAAGAATTTATTAGAGGAATTTTCTACAAAAATTTTCGTCCACGTTGACGGTATCAATAGCTCTTGTTATTTTCCGTGGAAACGATGGAAATTTTTTTCTGGTGGATGCTGAACAAATTTACGTCACCGAAGAGGATAGGAGGATAGGAAGAGAAAGCAAAAATAGCGGACGCCGCGAGAATCTTGATTTTATTATTTAGTTTAGTGACACGTCGACGATGAATTAAACAAAATAAGTAATATTTCGTTATTAATTGTTTCCATTTAATTCAATTCATTCCGTTCGAGGATATGTCATGCCAGTTAATTTGATCATTCAAAGTTACAAATGAATTGATAATCAGAATATTAATACTAAGCGGATTTACTCGTCAAATATGCATTATGCATTGGAACATGATTAATTAAGGAGCACGTGCCAATCGGCAATCGTTACCTTAAATTTCGCTAATGTATAGCTAATTGTTCTACATCTATTCACGTGTGAATCATTAACTATGTGATCATTAATCGTGATACACGTGAACGATAGTAGATTTACGCGTTATTCTCGTTACCTTTGAGATACATGTTCATAGACACGTCCGTTCAGAGATATTTAAGGCGTTCATTCATCTGTCAAAAATTATTGGATGGAATCGTCCAATAACCAACTACACTCGACTTATCTTTGATTAAAACATTCCTCCAATTTATCTCTCATAAAAAATTTTCTTTTTCTTCGTGACAGACAGGCAAAATACGCCAAAATAGAAGTGACTTTTGCTCCCATAATTTATACAAAACGAACTAACCACGATTGTAACCATCAATTTATGTATTTATTTTTCAATCAATTTCATTTTCAATAATAAAAAAATTTTTATAGCAACAATATAATATAATATGTATATAAAGATGATGATATCTTATAAATAATAATAGATTATAATTTTCCTACGTCGAAGTTTATAGATAATGGACCCATTTTCACTGCGTTGTGAATATCAATATTCGCAGCTTCTACATTTTTTCCTTCATATTATCCAACGTATCTTTCCCATATTCGAATAATTTGCTTATTATCCCATTATGTAACAATTGATCCTCGATCTCACCCTTTGGTTTCTGCTTAATCATGTTAAAGAAGAAGTCAAAAATCTTCCGGATAAGTTGACTAGGCAGATCAACGATCTCCAATGATCCATTTTTAAGTTGCAACAAGCTTGACAGATCAAAACCACGTAAATTATCAAAATGAACTTTATAATTCTTCGTTCGTTCTCCTTTTCCTTGGAAAGTTTCAGCATCGGCTTGTCGCTTACCAGAGTGTTGATCCTCGCCGTCATCCAAACTGAAAAACAAAAGAGGAAAGCTGAAGATACGCGGATCGAGGTTAAGTTTGCCGTTCAGATTGAAAGCTTGCCTGGTGAATCCGGATTCGTGAGTGTTTCGTTCCTCTTTTTTTGTCTGCGTCGATTGCACCGATCTCCGATTCAATTTTCGAAAGGAAAGTTGCTGGTTTCCTTGAAAACCGGTGCGTTCTGGTTGTACAAAAACAGTTAAGCGAGATTCATCATTATGTATCACATTTCTATTCTTTAGAGGACTACGAACTTGCTGATTTTTCGGTGTGACATTTTTGATCGATTTCTAGAAAGAAAAAAAATTCTAAATTTAAATTTTCTTAAAAGTTTTTCTTTAAATCAAATTTTTCGAGTGAACCGACTGAAAGAATGGCCGAGATAATTAGCCCGCATTGTCATTTAAACCTACCTGACCAAAGTATTTCCAACGAAATGCCGGAAATTTGTCAAACGCTTCACTGTTGGCCGCAACTTTCTTTTTCAACGTAATTACTCGATTGTGGACTGGCGAGTTTTCTAGGTTTCGATTCAAGTGTTCGGAATTTCCATCTCGAATCAATTGTTCTTTGCAATTGGCACTCGAGAACAGACAGATGCAATGAAACGCGAAGAGAAAGAAAAATATTGAAGGTATCCACATCGTAACAAGAAGTGTTAATTGTTGAACTGTTTTCAATTGATCTCCTCGTCCGTTCTTAAACGAAAAACCTGGCTTTATAGCAGCGTATGACAGGTGTTTCAGTTTTTGGTAAAAACATTGCGTAAACTATAAAAGTCTTCAAGCTTGTTACAACTGAATGAATACCACTTTAATTAATGTTTGCGCAGTCTGTTACTTTCATTATCGAAAACTACGATGGAAGAATGTAAAGTCGTATAAAAAAGAAAAGAATATCGATAAATAATTGGTATTTTGATTTTATCAAGTCAAACACAGATGGATTTGTTTGACAAACCAATAAGTATTTCAAAGACATTTAACGAAGAAAAATAAAATCTAGATCGATAGAAAACCAATGACCGGTACAAAGTACCGATACTTCATATGTAAAACAATGCTTTGGAAATATTTTTATGTGAAATCTTGGCGAAATTTTCTTCAAACGACAGCAAGATTTCCGGTAAATCGGACGTCAGCTATACTAGCTGGCCGCGTATTGTTGAGAAGGATATAACTTTGGTAGAAGCGAGGTCAAAACTTTGTTCAACTATCGTCGTTTTTCATGCAACTTTTCTGCTTCTCCTTTCGCGAGCATCCGTAACATTCTCACAAAAACTTTATCGTTTCGTGATCATAATGCAACGTGCTTGCCTTTCCCGAGATAAGTCGAAATAATCGCCAAACGCGGCAATTTTAAACAATATCATAGTTTTCAAAGGCATTAATTCGCGAACAAAAGAGATGATCTTTTCCGTTTCAATCAGCATTTTCTTTTGCAATTGCCATTCTCTCACAAAACCGGAGGAAATTCAAGTTTCACTACTGGAGAAACGACAGTCTCGGTTTCATTCCTTTATAGATCGTCACGTACGATCTTTAAGATCAGCGTCTCGTTTAGACGAGCTAATTGTGAACGAACCTTAACACGCGGTCCGCCACGCCGTATTGCATTTTAATGCGACACAGTGGACGTTTCTCGGTTCGTGTTTCAGGATGAAAAGGAGAGTGCACAAAGAAGCTTTTTAGCTAGCAGAAGTCTACGAAATAAGAGTTCTCGACTTTCTTTTTCCAACACACTAGTATACGGTGAACATCAATAAGAGTTCTATTCATAGTTTCGAGAAGAGGATCGGACGATTTTCTATTTGCTCGCAATAGTATTTTCTCTCTATTTCTTACGTGAAAATGGAATTTAGTTGGAAATACATAAATATTGGTTGAAAATTGCATACGCCTCTAAGAAACATTCTGTGCAAATGGAAGTGCAATCGGAAGTTTCGACTTGTGTAACTGTGTAGAGGCCGCGATATTTCGGTCAGCAATTACTGCAACCGGAAATGGAATAGTAGCCTTGTATGCCGTTTCCGAATGAACTGTGCAGGCAAATCGATGCTAACTCCAGTAAATTTGATTCGGTTCTCGCTTCGATTTATTAAGAAACTTCTGAATAAATCATTTAACGATAAATTGAACGTTTAAATTACCCTCTTACTGTCGGTTCTATCGTTATTATATTGGTTGCAATCGAACATCGACGAACATCAACGATTAAATCAATGTCGAATATTTGTTCACTTTGTATTTATTGTTTTTCATTGATATAATTACAGTGGATATTGTGCGCTTATTCTACGATTATTAAATTGTTGTTACTGCATATGTGCAATTACGAGTATATATTACACGGATTCTTGTGCTTTTCTGTATTCAAACACGCTGCCGCGTTCCACGAATTCTTGAGATTTTTTCTGAACTGATGATACCTTTTCACCGGGAACACCATAGCCACCACCTCCAGGAGTTTCCAGAATAAATGCATCCTATGATAAAAAAAATGTTGAATTTAAGAAATATCGAACAATTCAAGAAATACTCGTTTGCTTGTATTTTTCAGAAATGAAATTGCAAACAACGAAACATAAACGGAGAAACAAGTTCCAACAAGAAAAGTTGGAAACCAATAACCTATTCCTACCTCCTCCTTCTCTACGATCTAAACAGTTATCCGTAGTATAATTTTGTTTCGTTCTTTCAATAAGAATGCAAGTAATATCGACAAATTTTTCCAAGCTACTGAGAAACGTTGCTAGCAACGAGTTGCAAACAGTTTCAATCATATCGGCTGAGATCAAATCTTTTATGGTCTAACGTAAAACGTGAACATATTTTGCTTTCTTGAAATCCACATAATTTGCTGTTTGTTATTTTTTTCGTACCATTTTTTATCGTGTGATATATAAAATTTATGTTAGTCGTATTTCTATACGAAAAACTGTTGGTTGTGTGAAAAAATTGCCGTTTTTCTTACCCCTGGGTACACTGACACCGCGGTTTTAGGACCTAAATTAATTTTTCGACCATCAGCTCTTTCTAATGTATTTTTTCCTTTATGACCTGATTGCCCTCCTGCCAATCCTGGTGGATTATGTACTCTTCTTTCCGTCAATACAGATAGCGTCATCGGCGCTCTATAAAATTTCAAGTACATGTTCAACCATATGTCATTTAGAAAATTTTCAGTATGACAGAAGTACCTAAATGTCATTTTTCGAATAACTCCATCGCCACCAGAATGAGCACCAGATCCTCCACTGGCAGGTCGAAGAGAAAACTTGTTAAGAATAACAGGATAACGAAGTTCTAATATCTCCGGATCGGTGATTCTTGTATTTGTCATATGAGTATGAATTCCTCCTCTACCATCCCATGTTGGACCCTTAGTAAATAATTTTTTAACAAATAAATATTACTACTTTAGACGAAAGAAGTGGAAAATATTTCTTACTGCTCCGCTCCCTCCAGCGACTGTCTCATAATAACCCCACTCTTCAGTACCAAGTGTTACATTGTTCATGCAACCCTGTGACGCTGCACAAGCTCCAAAAGCTTGTAGAATTACATCAACCACTCGTTGAGACGTAAGCACATTGCCACCAACTACTGCAGCTTCTTCTGAAGGATCTAAAAGACATCCTTTTGGAATAAATACTTTTACGGGTGTCAAACAACCCTGAAAATGAAATAAATTATTCGATGATTAATAACAATGGTTAATAACAATTTTCTTTCTTATGTCTAGTAAGCAAATGAAGAAATTTAAAAAAAGACATTGTTACCTGGTTCAAAGGAACGTCTCTACCCACTATGCATCTTAAACAATAAATTAATGCAGAAAGAGTAATAGCTCTAGGCGCATTACAGTTGCCCCACACTTCATAACCTGTACCACTAAAGTTCTTAAATTAAAAATCTTGAGAATCATAATCCTATTAATATAAGAAAGAAAAAAACTTACGTAAAATCGCAAACTGCTTCACCCTTGTTTATATCAATGTTCAGGAGAAACTGAATAGGACTTCCATCATCCAAATAATCTATTGCGGTTGCTACAGTGTTCCCAGTTTGTTCAAAAAGCCGTTTACCAACAGATTTTAACATATCCCTTACTGCAACTTCAGCATTGTGTTGAATATGGCCCATGTAAGCTTGTACCACATCAAGACCATATATATCGATCAATTCATTGACCAATAGCGATCCCTATAGCATAGAAATTTATCGAAAATTATGAATGAAAGGTCAAAATTGTCATCATGACGAGTACTTTTTGATTAGCTGCAATCTGCGCCTTAAGGTCACTGATATTGTCAGACAGATTTCTCGTTCCGGAACTTCCTGGAATTTTTCTAGGTGCCATTAACGCTTCTGTCAACTCTTTTTCCTTAAACACACCTTTATGTACAAGTAGGAAGCTCTTAAAAGCCGCTCCCTCCTATAGAAAAACATAACTCTTTAGTAATAGTCATAGTGTAGACACTCAACAAAGAGGAAGAACAAACATTAATTAAAACTGGAGAGAATTTTTTCATTGAAATTTTTGAAGAATTTTCATACCTGAAGCAAAGAAGTTGAATGCGGTGGCATGGAGCCAGGTGTAATACCTCCTATATCAGCATGGTGTCCTCTGCTTGCTACAAAGAACACTGGTTTCTCCACATCTCTGTTCAAAAGTATCAGTTCAAAAGATATATTCCAAATAAATAAAATCATCATCATTATAATTTTCTAAGATAAAATAATAAAGAATGAATACTTGTAAAAAACTGGTGTTATGACAGTAAGATCCGGAAGATGCGATCCTCCAGCAGAGGGATGATTCGCAAGAATCACATCTCCTACCGAAAATTCACCTTTGAAAACTTTCATCTGATACTGAACAGTCTCTTGCATAGCACCTAGGTGCACAGGTATATGCGGAGCATTAGAAACCAAGCCACCATCGGGACCAAAAACAGCGCAGGAAAAATCTAGACGTTCCTTGATATTTGTCGAGATAGAAGTTCGCTGAAGAATCCTTTAAAGGCATATCAGTTTATGATGTACTTTAATATGGTTTTAATAAGTTTGAATGCATTTTTCATCAATCTACCTGCCCATTTGTTCGGCGATGCTCATAAAACGATGGGAGAAGATACTCAATTGAATAGTATCCAAGTCGGGCGTAACCTTGGACCGTAGGCCTTGACCAATCGTTATCTTCACATCACCGCGAGACGTAATCAATGCGGTGCAATCAGGTTCGATTAAAAGTGTACTCAGGCTGTCCATTATAATGGCTGGTCCCTGAATCACGTGGCCAGGTGACAAAGAATGTAATTGGTACATTTTGCTCTCTTGATAACCATTTTCAAAATATACCATAGTAGTCTAAAGAAAAATTTGTTTTGTTATTTGGTGTTCTATTATATTGATTTCTGAATTGATTATATCTTTCTTCTGCTTGCCTTTTCTGATTTTGGTGCATCGTTAAAAGAAGGTAAAATTGGATCTATCTGGATATCTGTTTTTCCTATGCCTCTTACTCTTACATCGTTCACCAAAATTTTTCGATTAGGCATGATGAAGCCAAACTCTATTTGGTATCTTTATTTGATGTAATTATTATTAATATTTATATTTCTTATTTTCTTTTTATACTTATGTAATTAAATTTTACCTTTCCAGGAATGTAGTAAGAAAATCTCCATGCTTCATGCCTTTGTTTTGAGTATTTTCACTAGCAGTACACATTAAAGCACAATCTGTTCCTTGATAGCGTAAATGTAAGAAAGATTCTACTTCTATATGAGAGTCAGGAAATCCTTGAGCAGTTAACTTTTCTCGAACTTTCTTTTCTAAGACATCTAAACGTTCATCTAAACGTGTAAACGATTCTGAAAACATAGGGAAGAAATAAAAAATTAAAATTTAAATAGTAAATATAAGAATATTTTCTTTAAATATACCTTTTTCATAAACTTCCATACTAGGTTCTTGAGCTTCTTCTACGACATCTGCTAGGGCCATTCCATAAGCTGACAAAATTCCGGCATATTTGTGAACAAAGACAATTCCCATTCCTAGAGAACGTGCAATGGCACACGCGTGTTGTCCTCCAGCACCTCCGAAGCACGCCAAAACGTGGCGGGATGTATCATGACCTTTTGCCTAATTTGAAAAAAAGGAATTTTTTAAATAAGTTAAATCATTACATAATGTATATGTGTAATGTAAAAATGTTTAAAAATCTCCTACAATATATAATTACCTGTGTTAAAGCTCGTATTGGGCGACACATGGTTTCATTAGCCACTCTGATGAATCCCATCGCCACTTCTTCGATGGTCATTTTTGTTTTATGTCCCTCTGTCACTAGAAATTCGTTTATCTATAAATTAGAGTTAATTTTTCAATAAACTACTAATCATTTAACATATTATATTATGAGAACGTTTTAGTAAAAAATTATCTTTATACTTGATTTGTAAGTGTTTGAAAAGCCTCCATCGTTCGAGATTTGTCCAGCGGTTCGTTCTCATTCGGACCAAATATCTTCGGGAAATATTCCGGCAAAAGTCTTCCCAAAGCTAAATTCGCATCAGTGACAGCCAGAGGACCTTTTTTCTTGTAACATGCCGGACCGGGATGAGCTCCAGCGCTCTCAGGTCCAACTTCGAAGAGACCTGACCTGAAGAAAAGCATCGATCCACCTCCTGCCGCAACTGTGTTCACGTCCAACTTCGATCCAATTTTGAAATTGGTTTCAAAATATCGTTTATCTTTTAAATCATTTCGACTAGCATTGATTATTGCATCGATAAAAAGATATCGACAAGATTTCTCTTTTTATTCCATTTGCGAGATTTTTTTTTTGTTTTTTGTTGTCAACTTAACAATTTCGACAATTTATATAACTTGTGTCAACAATCATTTTATTAGAATTGAAAAGACTTGAAGCGTGTGTAAAATAGAAATACCTGTGCAGCTTGAATCGTGACACCAGCGGTTGTACTCTCATATACGTGCTCATAATTGCCACCATAACGACTGACATCAGTCGAAGTGCCACCCATATCGAACCCAATCACTGGTAAATTGGTCTCTTTTCCATAAGTAGTCATTGCGTAACCAACTACTCCACCTGCAGGGCCAGAAAGAATAGCTCGAGATCCGTTAAATCTGTAAAGAAAGACATGTTATACTAACTGCTTTTAGCAGTGTCTTTACTAATTCTAAAATTGGTCTTACGAATTCATTGGTGTCAGTCCTCCATCGCTTTGCATAAATAAAACGTTTGCCCCTTTCAATTTATCTGTGAAACCAGAGGAGAATCTCTAAAATATATTTAATTATTATATAAATGTGAGTAATTAATTGAAAAAGTATATTAAAAAAGATACCTGCAAATATTGTTTAATATGCGGTGTTAAATATGCATCAGCACAAGCAGTGAATCCTCGAGGAACTATTCTCGCCATAGGCATAACTTCGTGAGAAAGCGAGACTTGCTGAAAACCAGCAAGTTTTGCCAATTCTCCTACTCTTATTTCATGTTCAGCAAACCTGAAATAAATGAACCAAATATGAACAAAACTTAATAAAATATTAGATTATAACTAAATGTTTGAAACAACTGACGTGTAACTATGTGCCAGAACTACGGCTAAGCTTTCAATTTCTGATTTTTTTAATTCTTCCAGATCTAGTTTCAACTTTTCTTCATCAAGTTCTTGAGTGATAAAAAGATCCTCGCCCGTAGATCCTGTTACTTTGCGCCATTGTTTATTATTCATTTGACATTTCCCAGATAACGCAGGTATCACTCTGCATTTGATTTCAACTACCCTTTTGTATAGTACTTCCGGAGTCACTATTTGCTAAAAGAACATGTTTTACTTCAATTGAATTCTTTCAAATTGTAATATTAATTTAACATTGTATTTAAATACATACCAAATCGAATATATTTGGTCGTGCTTGATTACCAATGAAGAGTAGATCTTTGAATCCTTCATTGATCAAAAGTGCCATTTTTGCACCCTTTCTTTCTAAAAGAGCGTTTGTGGCAACTGTTGTACCCATTCGAATCCATGATATTAACGAAGTATCTATTTCCCCATAGATTTTTTTTCCAGTTTCCTGAAATTGCTCTATATCAGATATCAACTAAATTTTTAGATGACAATTACAAATACCTGTTCAAGAATTCTGCGAATTCCTTCCCGTGGCGCGTCTTCGTAATTAGAAGGATCCACAGAAAGCAGTTTCATCACTCGAATCTTACCGCCTGGACATCTAGCGTAAACATCAGTAAATGTACCGCCACGATCTATAGCAAACCCGAATTTTTCGTGGGCCATTTTACACATTCTGTCTGCTCGACAAATATTCGAAGAATTGTACGGTTATAATTTCGGTCAAAAGCAAAAGAAACTATTTCGTCAGATGATCAAAAGCAAATTAAAATTTGTACATAGATAAGATTTCAAGCTAACAGATTTAAACGATGTATACATAACAGAGTAAACAAAGTAAGTCGCAATTGGGCGTATTTGCTACAATGCCACAAATGACAGAGACAGGAAACTAATTTTCAATTTTTTTTCTTCTTTCTTTGATTCAATAATGATCGAAACGATCAATATGATTAATAATTAAATGAATAATGACTGATTCCTGTTAATATAATCGTTGACACTTGATGTTTGTAACAACTGTTTTATCAGATATTCTCTGATATAGTATACTCGATAACAGCACTGTAGAAACAGTCTTTATTTCCTCTAGTATTTTTCCATTTTCTCATTTTGATAATGGCCGATTATGTAACATGATGGCAAATCCGAGTCTGTCCTCAAAATTTTCTTGGAACGAAATTTGTAAACCGTTCTTATCTATGAACGATAGATAGAGGTTAGGATATGATGTCACTACCACTAATTGGGATTATTATAGAAACATTTTCATTCTGAAGAAATTTTAGGAAGTAATATTTTCTGAAATTAAATAATTTGAATAAACAAAATTATTTCACCGATTTCTAATGTAGAATATATTTTTTTATTGAATCATTAATTCCATTGTAGTTAGTGAATAGCAGAGAATATTACATCTGATAGATATTACACGTTGGTCTAATAATGGTGAGGGTCACTGTACTCCGGCCGAGACTGCGCACCAATGACTTCTGCTTCTATTAGACACAATCGGGTGGGCGTAAAATAAGACACCTTCAGAGGACAAAGTTCAGCTGAAATTGGTTTTTCTCAACAAGGGGACAATTTATTAAACGACGCGACGCTTCACATTTACACACATTACTTCATAAAGTTGCTATCACTTTGTGCTTACTACCTCCACCAGCTTCTTATAAAATAACTTAAAATCTTATTCTCTAAAGATATGTAACAAATACAAATATACCTAGGCCATTAAAATTAACAGTTTGAGTAATTTGCAGGATGTAAGTTTTGTCATAAATATTTTTCTTTTAAATGTACTATATATCTATCTGAACTAAATCTATTTGTTTCTCTCACTTTTTTTCTTGTTTTTTAAATTTTACTATTCTGAATTATTGAATTTCGACGACAAAAAAAAGTAGAATAAAATAAGTATACAAATACGTATAAATATAATGTTGTTCGAGTTTGCAATGGAATGTTCGGGATGGCTGCAAATACTTATGTAGACAAAAGATAAATCTGTCTAATAGACTTTTTCTCTCATCAATAAATAAAAATTATACAAAATCGAGATTGTTTATACTTTCATTTTTTTAAGGATTTCTCACAATCGAATCTGTCCCTCAAGAATATTGTTATAAATCTGTTCTGATAGGTTCACATAAACACCAGAGTTATCAAGGAAATAAATTGGATCCGTAACCTGTACAAATAAAATTGCACAAATAACACATGGTGAAATAAATATAAAATATTATCTTTTTATAAAAAATTACCTTTTTAATATTGAATCCGTCTTCTTGAAGATCCTTTTTCTTCAACTTAAATGTACCTAATAAAATAAAAACTTTGAATTATTAATAGAAATGAATTAGAACAATAAAAATATTGATTAGAAAATACTCAAATAAATAAATTCATTAAAATACTTGCCGGTCATTGGTAATTCTGATAAGACTCTAACAAAAAGAGGTCTGGCATATGACGGCAAAGATTTTTTCAAACCATCCGCCATTTCTTTAATATTCAGAGTATTCTCTGGATCATAAATAGCAGCCATTCCAGCTTTTCCTTCGGTTCCAGGTACCTGTTAATTGCACAACTTTATAAATTTACCCAGTATAAAAATTAATTAAATTTCATTGTCAATTACCTCGACTCCATACACAGCTGCATCTTTTAAACCTATCAAATTACTAACAACAGCTTCTACCTCAGATGTAGCGACATTTTCACCGTGCCACCTACATTTATAAAAATTAAAAACAGACACTAAATTATAAAATGTAACTCTACATAATTACATAAAAATATCTTGCCTAAATGTATCACCAGTCCTATCCTTGAAATAAAAGTACCCAAATTCATCCATGAGCAATATATCACCTATACAAAGAACATAGTTAAATTATAAATATTTTTTTATATTCTTTATCAGTTTATTTCACTGACCAGAATTAAAAACTCGGTCTCCCTTTCGGAAAACATCGCGAAGAATTTTTTGTTCTGATGCTTTTCTATCTACATATCCAGAAAAATCATTCAACACTCTCTTTGGATTAATTTTACCTACGAAGACACCTGATTCACCTAAACGAAAATAAAAAAATTGCCAAAGAAATATTAAATTTTCCAAGTTTTAAACGTAAAATCTATTATTACCAGGTTTGCAATGGATGCACAGGCCGTCTGGTCCTCTCATAGGTTCGCCAGTCTCTTCATCAACTCTCAATAAAGCTACAGGGTACAAGGAACCAGCACAAAGTGGTACAAATCCCACTGCACCAATCTTGTTATCGATATTCACTGGAAATAATTCAAAAAAATATTAATTTACAAGCGGAATCAAAAATAATATAAAATGAGCGTGAATTACCAAGATTTGAATTTCCTTCAGTGGCACCGTAAAATTCACCTATTTGCTTCACACCAAATCTCTCCACGAAAGGCTTCCAAATCTGAGGTCTGAGACCGTTTCCAAACATTAATCGAACTTTATGTGTAGTGTCACAAGGAGCTGGTGGCGCAGTGAGCAGATACCGACATATCTCACCAATGTATTGTGCTATCTGTGACCAACAATCTCTCAATGAATTATACTTGTAAGGAATAAATCAAAATTAGCTTTGATATTTTGAGAACTTAAAACTCAAAGAATAAGAAAAACGAAATGTGTACAAGATTTCGTCAATATTTAAGTTCAAGCTAAATTAATATTAGATCTATCAGTCTACAAAATCTAAAACAATAATAATGCATGAATAATTTTACAGTGCATTCATAATGGACGCAATCCGGCCAGAACTTAGAAGCACTGAACCGTCTGCGAAGTACGACTGTGATTCCTCTCAGCAGTGCTTGACCTACTCCAATTAGTCCCCCAGCAGTGTGATAGAGTGGCAAAGAATTGTAAATGCGATCGGTTGGCCGTAGGTTCAACATAGAATTTACACCACACGACATCAGCATATATCTAGAATGATAATTAGTCGTCGATAATCGGAATGATGACATTGTAATACAGAACGAGCATTGTAATACAGCTCGTAACGAGCATTATCTGGACTTGAGATTTTATACTTGTTCTACATAAGAATGCAAATGTAACAGGAAAATTCGAATATTATCAAAATACCAAGAATTTTCTTACTCATATGCTAATCATTTCTAGTCTTTGAAAGAGAAGAATCCTTGCCAAAAATGAATAAAACTAGTAAACAATTTAAAGGATAAAAACGCATTCTCGCGTTTTATCTTTTTAACAGCTGTCATTGAAGATGACCGATCGGCTAAAGTAATCAATGTTAATAAAAATATGTTACCTTAAATTGGTAATAACGGCAGCTTTCGGCATTCCTGTGGTACCAGATGTGTATATATAAATCAATTTGTCTCTAGGAACGCCAAAAGCCACAGTATCCAAAGGGCTAATATCGACGTTGCTGATTTCTGGGTTGAGATCGATTGCTCCTTTTAAACATGAAGTATCGGGCAATTCGGACCACTGATACAGTGCCACACGCGGAATTCTCTCTCTGATTTCATTAATCGCTAAAGAGAAAATTGCATTGATTCCAGTTTCAATTTATTTCACATAATAATTCACAAATAATTAAATAATATTACTATATGAATAAAAACATGGAGTTAACTTATGCCTGTACCCATTGTAATACTCATTATGCATCTTACTTTCTAAATAAAGTTTGTATTTGTACTACATGATGTATTCAGGATTTCCTGAGAAATTACTATACCTTGTTTCCTTGATTCTAGAAAAACTTGGATCTTACCATCTTTAAAACTTGATCCAAAGATGACAGCTTTACAATTAGCAGCCTTGATACTATGCACCAAGACATCCTGACGAAGATTCGTGTTAAGAAGAGCACCTACTAAACCAGCTTTACTCAAGCCCAGCCAGATTCCTACGTATTCAGGTCGACTTTCCAAAATCAGGCCAATCGTATCTTCGCGAGACAGAGATTTCCCATGGAAGTAACGTCCTAATCGATTGCTGTATTCTTCCAACTGCATTCGTTAATCAGAAACATTACTCTATTGCTTTGCAGACTGTAATTATTTCAACTCACCTCCCGATAACTCCATTCTTTATCCTCGAAAATGAAGGCAATTTTGTCGGGATTAGCAGTGGCGTGCCTTGTGAATAACTTCGCCACGGTAAATTTCCGCCATTCCCACCACCATAGTAACACGTTCACTCGAACGAACCTATATGCTCCCCTATTTTCGAACAAAATCATTTTTCATTGTTAACTTTGATCTTTGAATATTTACTTGCTAGAATCTTTATCGTTGTTGCGAAATTTGACGCATTTTTTTTTGTCAAAGATATCGAGAAACAAATGATGAAAAATAATGATCGAATGAATTGATTCGAAAACGATCGATTATTCATTATAGAAAATAAAAAAGATAGTTACAATACAAATTATATAGTAGCACAGAATTTAAGTATTATTTAAGATAGTATTATTTTTTAAAGGTAACTCTGTGGATTGTATACAACGCACTTCTGCGATGGGAAAGAAGTTAATAGAAAAGGGATCAAATGAAATGATTAGAAATGAATTAGGGTACAGGCAATGAATATAGATGGTTATATGTTTTCTGACTCAATGATGCGTTTCTCTGTCGCGCATCGTTACATACATGTTCCTTTCTAACAATACGACCTTCTCTTTCTGAATCAATTGAGTAATTTCGCGCTCGACACACGCGTTGCGTCCATCCACACGAATGCCATCTTTTCGCCATTCTTTTCTGCATACCTAACCAATTATTTTATCAGAAATAAATGTAACAAATCAATAGTCAATAAAAGATTGTGATTTCCTTCATATTAAAATTCGTTAAACAAGGATATTTTCCTTTTGATTTAAACTCTCGTATGTCTTGAAGAAAATATAATTTATTCGGAATTTAAAATGTAAAAAAGGATAGTATATTTAAAATAATATTACATAGAGTTAACAACAAATTATTAATGCTAGAAACGCATAAGGATAGCTCTATGTCTCCGGAAGATTACGCCTTTGTTGAAGCTCTTGTATCGCGGTGAGCATACGACACCAGCGGTCAGCCCCTTCCAGTACTTCCACGGTGATTAAATGAAATTAAATAAAATAACGAAGCAAGCTCTGCATGCTAGGTGTAAGGACAATCCTCGGCTGCGATTTCGTTGACATGCATTAATCTCACAAGCGACAATTATATCCAGACAATTTTCTTGTCTTCTTTAAAATTGTTTGAAAAGAAATTATGGTCGTCTTCAAAATATCTAATTTTGTACTTGTTGTGTATTAAGTCAATTATAGAATAACTAAGGTTTAAAAGAATGAAATGCTGTAATATTTGTTCGTGATATCATAAATCACGTTGTAATTCATCTGTGAATTGAGATTTTACGTCACTTTAGAGACATTACAACTTTCGACGAATAGAATATCATCCTTTATTTGATGTTCAAATATATACACGAGATTGCTGAAGTCATTATATTAAATAAATACACGAATTTATAGTTTCCTGTAACTTCTCAATTCTCTCCAATGCTAAAGCATTAACTGTTACATTTTCAATATAATTTTTAAGAAGGAATTCTTTTGATAAATAATAAAAGAAGAAAAATGTAGTCTCTGTAGGAAACTGTAACGGTTAGGATGCTCCGATACAGGGCAAATAAGACGGTTGCTGTTCGAGTTGCGATAGACCAACGCTTAATGGAATGTAAACGCTGGCATCCAGCACTCGTTCGCGGACAAGGCCGTACCTGTTTGTCTTTCGTTAAGAAAATTTTGCAAATGATGTTTACACGATTACACGCATAACGCGTGCAATAGCCCCTGGAACATAAATAATGCACCAATGCGCCATCGTCCTTGCTATGTCTGATATTTCAACAACCTGTTGCAATCGTTTGTATGCAACGCCTCTTGGTAAAACCTTGTATCTCGTTTCAATCGATGTAAATCATAAAAAATCAGAATAAAAGAAATGAAACGATTATCGTATAAACGAATGTGTATGTAAATGATTTTCAATTCCTTTTTTTTAGTTTTGTCTGAATAGTTTCTATTTTCTGATACAGTTAATAGTGATATATTGAATTTTAGTTAAGTATTTACTACTGTTTTACTATGTTAAGAAATAGTAAAAGGATCTGCAATAATTTTTATTTCCAAGATTTATAAGCGCGTGAGGAGGTATAAAAATATAATATAAAACCGTCTGGATTTTTTTGTCATAATATGTACTTTTCGAGCAGAATTTAAAAATATAGAAACCTGCAGAATGTATTAAATATATAAAATATCCAAAATACAGAAGTTATTATAAGATTTAATAGTTGAAATGGTTGAAATTTCTGCTTTTGATTACATTTCATTAATTGTTTTGATAAAAATATG